GCGACGAAAAAAAGGAAAACAACTTGTTAACTTTGATTATCAAAGTGTAACTTCTCTTTGCACGCGCCATCATTACGTCAACAGCTTGTGCTAGTTCTGTGTTTCTATCGAGTTTTAGAAACACGATTTTCAACCAATCAGCGCGCGTATTTTCATAGGACTGTTTTCTAAATGGACATGTTGGTGTGTCTCTTGTTCCCAAAACTGTGTTGGAATTGCATGAACGGATATCACCGTTTCAGTATTTCTGTAATTGACCTTATAAGCATTTAGCATTTAGCCCTTAGCAGATATTACACACACACAGAGGTGAGTATAGGCTTTCATACAATCATGATTCAGTTTTGTTCCTCAAAAAAATAATAATAATAAAATAAAAAACTCGATTTCTCAACAGATACTTCACTACTTCTGAGTAGCATTAAAACTAGAACCTTGATTTTGGTCTGAGTGGTTTGTGACTTGATTGCTTGGTCTATACACAGGTTATTTGAAACGAATGAGAGACTAAGACGTTTACCAATGACGTTAATGCAAGAGGACTCCCTTGTACCTGTGGTAAGGTCCAAAAACCTGTAATTATAAACAGGGAGTTTAGTAAGACGATGGACATGGTGAATTGATTTAATAGTTCCACTAAAGCTGCCTTACTAGAATTGTGAAATTCATAGTAATAAGTAGTCTCGCCAATGATAAGTTTTGTTAGGCGATGATTAACTTTTGGTAGGTTTTAGGGGAATAATTCTTTGAAACATGCAGCAACTGTTTGATTTATTTGGAACTGAATGAGAGAGCATGAATTTGCAGAACAGTATGAACAGGCCAGTACGCGAAGAGTTCCTTGTGGGGGATGTGAAATGATTGACCTTGCCCGGATTAAAGGAGAAATTAATGAACCCAGGAACTGTCAACCTGGAAAATCTTTGTAGACCAATATCTCAACATTTGCATTTTTAATCATCCTCTCCACTACCCGCCGCCAGATTCCATGGTAAAGATAAATATGTATGGTTACTTTTCTATCCAACAGTAAGATTATTAGCTCTCGACTTCTATGAGGTGCTAATTATTAAGCCGAGCACCGAATCAAATATTCCGTCGTAGAAATCGAGAGTGGATAATCTGATTGTTATTATGGTGTCATCGTTCTAAATAACGGCAGCTCTTGGGGCATGAGGGGATAATGTTCCGCCTTGTTCTTCGTGTTGGTCAGTTCTCTATTCATAACTAATGGCAACACTTCTGACAATGAACGTTAATTCGTCCATTATGTTTAGTCTTTACAAAAAAAAAAAACTGTAATTAGAGCATCAAGACGTCTAGAAAAGATACAGACATAACTCTGTAGGCATACTCAATCCTAGGCTCGATTTCAAATGCAGATTTAAGTCGTTCAGTTATATACTAGCTTAGGTGTTAAGGCGTCAAGAAAAATGTGAAGCACAATGTCAGCTAATTAAAAAAAGTACACATGCACACACAAGCGGACTCTATTCGCTGACATTGTTCTTCGCATTTAAATCATTAACAACTAAGCTAGTGTATATCTGAACTGAACGACTAAAATCTGCATTTGATGATAGCGACAAGATGACGCCGAAACGTCATGTTGTAGCGTTTAGTTTTCTTTTGAAATGTTATGCTGAGAAATTAAAGGAATTAGACCGAGACAACAGTGGCACCAAGAAAATCAACGATGTTACGTAGAAAATTGGTGTGGTGTTTAAAACAATAATTTAATACCGTACTTCAGTGCAAGTGAACTGAAAAATGATTCGAAAATTGTGCATTTACTCGCTTAAACGTGTAAGTTAAGCAGCTTTTAATATTCGCACTGATTTTAGAAATTAATTCCTATTTACAAGGCTAAAAAAGTAAAAAAGACCGAACGTTTTCGACACTAGTCATCTTCAGGGTAAGTGAAGATAGCTGGTGTCGAAAACGTTCGGTGTTTTTTACTTTTTATTTGTTTAGCCTTGTAAATAGAAATTATTTCTTTCAAAGTTATCATTGTTAATAAAAATTGAAGGTGCATTTTTCAAATTTTTTTTTACAGTCCCTAAGTTTAAAGCTTTCCATAAAAGACCTTCGGAGGGAGCATGAGCATCAGTTTTCTAAACGACCAAAAGGAAAGTCAGAAGCTGGTGAACTCAGATGACATCAATCAACTACTGCGCCGGATACCAGAGTTGCAGCCAATTCATTGTCGACGAAATCACAAGAGTAACGCTTTGATCTGTGGGAGAAGATTTAAAACAGAGATAACAAACAAAATCTTGAAATATTTGTGTTTTACAATAGGCAGGCTGCTCTCGGTTTTTATCTTTGGTTTTTATCAATTCTGATAGTTCGTCAACTACATCCACTGTAATTTGTTTAGAATCGTCAAGCCTTCAGTCTGATTTTTTAACATCGGACCGGTTTATAGTTTTTAACAGAAATAATCTGTATAATATGGAAACAATATGTATTTAACGAACATTGTATGAATTAAATAATTTAGTAATAAACAGACCCAGTATCAATGCTTTGTGAGACTTCTTTCAGTTGTCAAACTGGCACTATACTGATATCAAATTCTCGGAACGATACAGTCCTTGGAAAAGTGCATTTTACTTCCAACTCTTTTCTCGTCTTGGGGCCCACGTCCGGTCTCTCATCCCTGTGTAAGGCAAATGTCGGGCGCAATCAAAATTTTCGGAAATTTCGGTCTAAAACTGAATGGATCGGTTCGCTCCAACTGGAAAAGTTTCGAAACAGTTTGGTCCACCTTTCGAGGTGGACCTTTTCTCGGTTTGACCGGTCCGATCGAAAATTGACCGTACCATTTTACGGGTTAAATTTCTAGGCATGAAACAGCTCACATAATAGCGGAGCTCCGGCGGCCCGAAGGGCCGCCAAGCGGAGCCCCATACTCATATGGGAAAGAAAAGGAAACCCATGAGTTGATTTTCTCATGGT